GCTGAGGTGCAGCAGCAGCAGCGCGGTGCTCAGGTTCATCAAGATCTTGGAGGGATAATCTCTCCGCAATTTTCTAATACGGAAAAAAGGAAGATGTGGAGAACGAATAGTGTAAATAAAATTTTTAAGGACAGGCAGTAAATTCATATCTCACACAGCAATGCAATGGGTTAGCTTGCACCATCTCCAGGATCTGGTTCCACGAGGGGAGGGCGAATGATATTTGCAAGCATTTGGAAACTGAGATTTTGTAAATATTAATTTTATTTCAAAATGGTTTCTAATTGTTTAAATAATTGCCAACTGGTTTCAACAGCTTGGTATTTTTTAAATCTAGAAAAACTATGGTCATAAAAATGGTATTTTTGTTAAAAATAGTTTCCTTAATTTTTTTTTTAAGTTTCTTGATTTTTAATGAGGTGAAGATTATTTTTAAAACAAAAAATTCTGTTTAGGTCTAATGTTATAATATTTGTGAAGCAAATGTACCATGCAAAAAACAATGAATGCAATGTTTATTTACTTACATGTTAATCATCTTTAACAGGTTTAAATGCATTTTATCAATAGACATACACTAATTATAAATTAAGACTCTATAGCTAGACAATTCATGCTGTATGACATATCTTAGAAGAAACCTGAACATTAAAACTGAACTACCCCACACAGATTTGCAAAGTGCATGAAAGTTTTTAAAAGCTGAGGCAATTTCTTATTCACATTTTAGAATAGTAAGCACTGGGTTTGGCCGATAGGAAATACTTACTCGAAAGCAACATATGTCAGGAGAGTTGCTGCTGAAAAAATAGCAGATATTCCACATCCAATATAGGTGATGAAGGTGAGAATTCTAGTGTTTCTTGCATCTATCTGTGAGGCAGTTCCTTGAAGGTCCTATACAAAACATGGAAAGCAGCTGTGAGAAATTCTTTTCTAAGGATGCTTTTGTTTTATTAAGAAGTCCTTTGCTAGGACTTAGAATCTCAGCTCAACCTTAGGAGTAAAAAACAGTGTAAATCAGTATTGAAATTTCCATTTATAATACTCTTGTGGATCACTCCATGAAACAAAATATAGCAGTACTGAGGGAGTTACAGATGGTTTTTATCTATCACCTTGTTACCCACGCTCTTTTCACAGTGGTATATCTTGAAGAGCAAAACCACTGGGTTCCCCAATAGAAACTGGAGAGGCGATCCTTGCTTTGCACATAGTTATCAAGCCCATTCTTAACATTTGCAGGGTTGAGGGCACAAGTTCAAATGGAAGCCCTTGTGGCCCTCATGGCCAAATCCTTGGGTGAGTCCTTTGCCCAGTAGGGAGGAGCTCAGCCAGCGGACGACCAGAGGCTGGTGCTGCACTGTGGCTGTCAGGCTCTGAGAGTGGTGCTGAGGCTCCTAACTGTGCTATCCCAAAGCTTGGTAGGTATGGGGTGGGTGGTCTTTATCTTTTTTTCATAAATGAGAATCCATTAAGACTTTTGGGGTCATAATTTTTATCTTTATAGACCTGAAAAGTAATACATAATTATAAGCTCATAATAAGATTTAAACAATTTTGAAGAAATTACTGATTATTCAAAGTAATGGGAAGCCAAACTTTGTTAAAGGCACCATGTAAAATGTTAGGGGGTGCATGTCGAGTAGAAAGAAGTAAACGCTTTCTAGCATATTAATAAGAAATATTCACTTCACTGTGTTGAGGCAGACTTGCAAAGTCTGGGCTTGGTAGAAAAACTGTCCTTTTCTACCTTAATTGGGGAATTGGGATAGGGATAAACCTTGAGACCAACCATTCAATCCCGGCTGGAGGAGAAAGAAACCTCCATTATGCAGATGTTCTAAAACAGAGCTTTCTTGAAGAAGGGACATCCTCCAAAAAGAATATCTGATTTAAACTTTTAGGTGTTAAATTATGAAAAAACATTTGTGTTTTAAGTTTTTCATTCTATTTTCTATTACTTTTCACCAAAAGGTCAATAAAACCTGCCAGTCACACTAAGGCCTCCAGTAAGGGGTGTTTGTTGTATGTACATGTGTGTGAATTGAAGACATAGACTTAGTTCCAGGTTTGGCTGATGTAGTAAGTAGCAGGGACAGCACCTCTGTGACACCAAGAAAGGCACAAAGTGACAAAATTCAGCAGGTGCATGGGCTCAGGGTTCGGGGGAGGGGGGTTCTTCATCCTTTCTAGGAATCCCTCAAAACACTGCAGGAAGGGGGATCCTGTGTCACATGGGGTGGTATTCGAGTCAGTGCCACCTGACTCACAGATAGGTGACTTCCACCAATATTTCAGTGACTCCAAGGTTTCATTAGGTCAGTGAAATGGTCTTGAGGAATCTCCAAGTGACTTGCCATTACTGCTTGAAAAACCTATGCCATTACTGCTTGAAAAAACTAGGCCAGGCAGTTGACCTGCAAACCACAATTAAAGCCACAATTTAAAGTGTGAAGTAAGTAAAAAATGCTATTTACTGATGATACCAATTTACACCCCATCCTCATACTGCTTTGTATTTTTAGAGAATGAAAAGTACACAAACATTTACTCCTCTGAACTACCCAACAATTCCTCTGATTGTTAAAAATATAAAAATCAGTCTTACTACAGAGAAATATGGCAGAACCATTAAATTCTTCATACATTGTGTATTAGAAGATATAATTATGGGTCGGAGGTACATTTTTTTAAACTTCTCATATGGCAAATGTGTCATGGAGCAATGCAGACTGGGGATTTCTCGTACGAGTGAGTAAATAGTTTGTAAATCAAGAAAGACTCTGAAGAAAGTCTTGGTGGTCTGGAAAGCTGAAAGGATGTGGGCACATTGCCAGAAAGGATAAATTCTGGAAAATTTTCCTTCCAGCAGTTTCTAAACTCACAAAACCAGCCAAGGTGGAAAGCGGAAGTATAGCACTAAAAAGATGCATAGAGCCATCTGCATATAAAGCTAATTATTTAATCAGTCTACAATAGAAAAAGTCATACCGAATCACAAACTCATAATAAATTTAAACAATTTTGAAGAAACTACTGATTATTCAAAGTAATGCAACGTTAAATTTTGTTACATATAAATCGTTTCTAAACAGCGAATTGTGTTACTGTTATCTATTATCTAATATTAGACTTACAACACAATCATGCTCAAACACACACACACCTGCACACAAATACAGCTGAAGTAGTTAAATCAATTAAGCTAAAGCTTATATACCTGAATGGGTAATAGCACATTTTGTGTATAATGAGTAATAATGCATAGTTGTTTTCTGAAAGAATGTTCTCATTTTTGAAGAAAAGAGAAAATGGAAGAAAACAGTATTTTTTAAAAATCACTTAGTGAAAACACACTACAGTTTAATTGTTCATTTTCATGCTCTGGCGGTAAAGGAAAAAAATATATTTTGAGAAAGTTAAGAAGTTATTTTCTGTGATGGTCACCCTTTTAAATGACTTGTTCTTATCCTTCAGAGCTTTTATGTACTGGGTTGTCAGGAAAATCACAACTCGCAGGATTACCATAGGACAATAGACATTTACATTGACTGAGTGGATACATGAGCCAAATACTACATCACACGGTCCTCACAGCTTCCTCCCAGTCCCAAAGGAAGTGGGCGTAAGACTTAAGGGAGGGGATAAATGTAATCTGATGTCTGTGATTCCAATGCATACAGCTTTATTGCCTCAGCACACATTTCCCCCATCTTCCATTAAAAAACATATGTGCTCTGATCCCTTTATGGAAACTACACAGAAACAATGGCTCTGCTAGGATCTGAAGGACACACTACAAGAAAAGTGTTCGCTGCCCTAGCTGGTTTGGCTCAGTGGATAGAGCATTGGTCTGTGGATTGAAGGGTCCCGGGTTAGATTCCAGCCAAGGGCACATGCCTGGTTTGCGGGCTCGGTCCCCAGTGCGGGATGTGCAGGAGGACACACACACACACACACACACGTATATATATGTCCGCAATAACTCAAGTATATCAGATATAAGTAAAGGTACAAGTCTGCGGATGAATTCAAAAGTTTCATGGTGCTATTCTTGTTTCTAGAATTACTTATCAACAGTGTTAATGCTATGGGAAAAAAACTGGGTTCCTTTTCTGCAATTACTTTTCTATTTAAAAATATTTTTATTGATTTCAGAGAGAAAGGGATAGGGATAGAGAAATATTAATATCAATGATGAGAGAGAATTGTTGATTGGCTGCACCCCACACTGGGGATTGAGCCCCACAACCTGGGAATGTGCCCTGACCAGGAATCAAAACCTGACCTCCTGGTTCATAGGTTGATGCTCAACTACTGAGCAATGCCGGCTGAGCACTTCTGTATATTTTTAATATATGATCTCTGTTACTTAGATTCTTCATTAAGAATCAAGATTCATGGTACAGATGAAAATTATCAGGAAATAATTCCCCAAACACATAAGCTCAAAAAGCTGACTCACACAAAAAAGTATGCCTTCCAAAATTATATTATTTCAAAATGAGTTTCAAAATCCTCCCCTACCATCAGAACTCCAAAGTGTGTGAGGTGGTTACACAGGCAGATCGTCTCGCTCGCATCTGAATCTGTGTGAGCAACACATCCCGACGTGTTCCAAAATCCAGACCCTTCTGCAGGGGGAAGTCAGCAAACAATAAACACAACGGCAGGTCAGTTCCTCCTCTATAATGGATGGTATCTTCTTTAGAGAAAATGCCTCCATGTCTCCTGCCTACAGTTTATCTGTAGCATGCATACTATTTAAAGCTGAATATTTTTTTAAAAAAATATTTTTAAAGTATTACAAATAGTAGTACATATGTCTCCTTCCCTCCCCTCCCATTAATCTTCCCCCAGCCTCCCCTACTCCCCCGGCACATGCCTCATCCCCCCACCCCTGCCCCCAGTGTCTTGCGTACATTGGTTATGCTTATATGCATGTATATAAGTACTTCGGTTGATCTCTTACCCCCAACTCCCTCCAACCCTCCCCAGCCTTAAGATTCCTGGAATCACACAGTGTTAGGGCTGGGTGGGCAGCTAGAGATGATCTTGCCAGTGGTTTTCAAGTGTGTTCCACTGAAGTGCTTCAGGGGTTCTGCCAAACTTTGATTCAAGTTTAATTTCTAGTATATTATAAGGCAGACTTTCCTAAAAGGGAATATTCCTTTTCAAACACATTATATACGGATGAAATCTCTAGAAATCAACTTTTTTCCCCCCTCGGGTCAGTCAGTCTATGTTTTCGTGAAGACATGAGACCAGGAAGGCCTTTCTTTGAACATGTTAGCATGGACGTGGCAGTGGTGCATAGTGGCAACTTCCGATAAATGCCTTTAATACATTTGTCCTGACTTTTATAGTATGCTGTGGAATATGAGCAACTCATGCATTTGAAGAAAGTTTTAAGAATGGAAGATAATATCATTTTAAATTATGTATCTAGTAAATCAGGAACTTTTCAAAACTGTGCAACTAAAAATTAAACAAAAAAAACCTTCCAGGTGTGATCGAGTATCGAGGAAAGAGGTCTGGACATCTGCAGGCCACAGCTCTGCCAAGAAGCAGGGTAATCCCAATGGGGACCCCAAGGGAAGGTGACCCTTAGGGGGTAGAAGTGGGAGGTTTCATCTCTGGTCCTTCCCTTCAAAGAGATCTCCACACCTTACACCTCATGTTCGAACTCTGAATTCTTGCCTTTGTCTCCTGATTGTCGAACGTCATTCAGGAGGCAGCTCACTTGTTCCCAGTGGTACACAGCTATTATAACCATCCCTATCTTTTAGCCCTGCAGTGGGCTTTCTCCCATACTCTGAGGGCCACAAGCTGGATTTCTAGTTATATGCCTTATGCACATCGCAAAACCTCCTCAGAAGTGTCCTAGAAGCGTGAGACCAAGTGTACATTGATGTTCACCTACAACGGCAATATAAATGTTACTCTATTTTATAAATAACTGAAATAAAGAGGTTTGAATTTTTAAAGAGCCATGCCTTTCTACTTCCTCTTGCAATGAATAAAAAGTTTTAGAAATTAGAATTTAGTTCCCAAGCTACCCAAACTAACATTTTCAGCTCAGTTGCTATCACACTTATATTGTGACTCACTCTGGTTTGGGGTGGAATGAAAGGGGGTGTCTAACAAGTTTAAAAGTCAGTTGTTATTAAGATAGACAATATATTTGAAAACTTACCATTCTTGTTCAGATCCCAGAAGGCACAGATGGGATTAGGCACTGCCTATATTAACGTAAGAATAAAAATATGAAGTTGTGTTTAAAATAAATGGAAAAATCCTATGGTTTGGATATGGGAAAAGAGTAAAATGCTAAGGTTTGCACAAAGAAATGGGTCAGCATTAGTCGTACCAACAGCACCTACGAATGACAGGCGATCCAGGGGTAACCTCCGCTCACACAGACTTCAGGTGGAAATCAACTAAAACCGCATGAGGAATTGTGTTACTCATTTACCTAAAGTTTACTATATATGCCCCATCATAAAATGCTGTGCATTTAGCAAAATTCTTTACACTGTAATTTTACTTCCTCTTTAAACTTCTCCTTTATGTCTAGTATAACCCCAAAGAATTGAAATTAGGGACTCAAATAGGTATTTGCACACCCATGTTCACAGTAATATTATTCACAATAGCCACAGGTAGAAGAAATCAAAGTGTCCATGGATGGAGAAATGCATAAACAAAATGAGGGAGATATGTATGTATGTATGTAAGTATGTATGTATATCTCCAATGGAATATTATTCAGACTTAAAGAGGGAGGAAATTCTGACACATGCTATAATATGGCTGAATCTTGAAAATATTATGTTAGGTGAAATAAGCCAGTAATAAAAGGACACAGACTGTATGATTCCACTTATATGAGAAATCTAGAGCAGTTACATTCAGAGACAGAGAGAAGAATGGTGGTTACCTGGGGCTGGGGAGGGGCCGGGGAGTTACTCTATGGGTGCAGTTTCAGTGAGAATATGAAACAGTTCTGAAGATGCACGTGGTGATGGTTTCAGAACAATGTGAATCTACTCAATGTCACCAAACTGTCTCCTTAAAAATAGTAAAATTTGTTTTATATATTTTACCACAATAAAAAAAAATTGTTGTGGGTAAAGTAGCTGGGAGCTGAAACAAAGGCGGCCAGAAGGTAAAACAAGGAGGTCGAGGGTTTCGTGACAAAGCAGAACTAGTGAGTAGGTGACTTAACTTCCACGCCTCAGTCCTTATCAGCCAGCTCCCTTCCGCCCGCCTTCCTGCCTGCCTCATAAATGCTGGAATCGTGACTGGGAACCTCCATAAAAAGGGGACTAACCCGTGCCTGGACCACCTGCGACAACACAAACCCCCATGTAATTTTTTCGCGTAAACAGATGATTGCCAGGGTAATAGAGCAATTAAGAAAGCATTTGCCAAGATTTTAGACAACGGTTAACCTCTCAAAACTTACGTCAACCCTGTCACCCCGCTGTGCCCTCTGTAGCAATGATCTTGACCTTAAAAAACAACCAAATGCCAGGTGGGAAGGGGGGAAAAGGTGGAGGGATTAAGACGTACAAATTGGTAGTTACAGAATAGTCACGGGGACGTAAAGTACAGTACAGGAAACACAGTCAAGAATACTGTAATAACTATGTATGGTGCCAGGCGGGTTCTAAATTTATCAGGGTTATCTAATCACTGGGTTGTACGCCCGAAACTAATACAATATTGTACGTCAACTGTGATTGAAAAATATATTAAAATTAAAAAAACAAAACTTTTAATGGCAGGAGAGTACAACTGCATCTACATCTAATTTATCTCAAGGATATACATCACTTCTTAGCAACAGGTGCCCTTTCCTTCACTCCCATTCTCCTTCCGATTACTGAGTCCTAGATAAGACAGATTTCCCCTGATTGCCACCGTTTCCTGTGATATTAGAGCTCTACGTGTTTATCCATTCCCCCCTTTCGGGAAAATTGTTCCCTTCCAAAAAAGTGTCAGTTACTTGTTTTCATGTAAAAGAAACATCCCCGTCTTTCCCTGAAACAGTCTGCTTCGACTCCATCACTATTTGCAGTGTTTTCTTACCTGGTTTCGTGTGTGTTTGATTTTAATTTGAACTGGATCCTTCAGGTTCTGGACGGTGATGTTTCCAATACTGCATGCCATCACATAACTCACTAAGGTGCCTTTCTTGGTCTCTACATCCTTGTAAAGAAAAAAAAAATGGGTATTAGTCAAAAGTACACACTTTCATTCCGCTGTTCCAAAATAAGCAAGCTGTCAGCACTTTTTACACTTAAGATCTTGAATTATAGAACATCCTGTTTATAAGTTCAAATCGCTGCCTTTCCTGAAAGGGCTTTGCTATTTCCCTTATTATAATAAATACGTTTGAGAGAACATTCTGAGCCAGAGCAGCAGGCGATGGCCATAAAACTTCATCTTGATGGCTGTGACAGACGCAGCCAGTTACCATCTGAAACAATGCACCACCATAAATAATATAAACTCATAAAAAGCTGTGAAACAATTAGGTCACTTCCCTGCCCTAGAAAACAGATGAAGTCGTTTTCCTTTGGAGAAGCATGAAGAAAAGATTTTGTGGAAAATAAAAACCAATTCATCTTTCACACCCAGGCTGAAAGCCGGACGGGTTTACTGATGTGCCTACATGTAATGGGGTAAAGCTCCATTCAGACCGTCCGCCTTCCCTGACTCCATACTTGCTGTAGCTTCCACTTCAGAAACAAGGTTGCTAGGAACTCAATTAGTGAATCTGAGCAAAACGATTGGGACCACAGATTCTCCAGCGAGATACCTCAACTTTCTTCTTCCTCTTGTGTTTCTTGTCAAACCTCCTGAAATTCCCTATTGCAGTTTATAAACGCGGTTGTTTTGGAATAATTATAGGATTTCCTCTATGCCAAATGAATCTCAGCATCTAGAATATAGCTTTTTATTACTTTTGCGTGGTCACTCTCAGTAAGTCGGCTATTGTTTGGGGCTATTCGGCCTTTCCTTTAAAAAAAACAAACCTCGAATTTTGTTACCTATGTGAAGAGAAAAGCATAGAACCCTTAAATTTGCTTTACTCTGCTATGCATTCACTTTAAAAAACACACACATATATTTCCTAACAAAAACATTGACGGGGAAATGCCAAAGGAGAAGGAATAGATGGTATGGAGAAGGTAAGTCTCAAAATGAAATAATGACAGATTTTTACAACTCTAACAGTTGTCCTAAATCTTTCCTGCTGGGCTCAACCTGCCCTCTAAATCGACAACCCCCTGGCCGAACCACCATTCACATTTTGTGATACCTACTGCATTTTATGTTTTGTTTTAAAGGTGACATTATTGTAAGCCTCAAATAATTTTCACAAATGCAGGTTTTTTTTGTATTCATAGCTATTAAATCCTTCCGAGTGATGACGGGTAATTACATTTTAATCTACTCAAAAATTTTATAAAGCTTGTTCCTAACACATTTACTGATAAATTTTTAAAGTTTGGTGATGAATTACTATAGATTATTCCATGTTATTCCTTTTACTTACTGGTGGTCTACTTTGCCGTTGCTCCACACATGACATGCAGGGCAGGCCTGTTAGAAACCAGTCAAGTCTCCTTGAGACTGGCTACTTTCTCTTACATAGGTCTCTCTGTTTGATAGACACTGATATCTTCAATATAATAGATACGTTTTTTTTAAGGCTGAGTAAAATTGCCCTTGATGGGGTTGTGCTTTCAAAGGCAATCGGAGGTCACCAGTGTTTGCTGGCAGTGGACTTCCTAGTATCTAGAAATGATGCCAATAAAAATGATAATATGTGCTTAGCACAATGCCACCCCAATCTGGGAATGTGTGAAGGCCAAAGTTCATTGGAAATACTAATGGGAAAACTGATTAAAGCCAAGAATGCTGCTCATTATGTAAACAGTGCTTCCTGTTGAATTAAAACAAAACAAAACAAAACAAAACAAAACCTTTCCTTTGGCACATGATTTCTTTAACTCTAAAGATCTAAACTGCTGGAGAGTGTTTAAATAAAATAACAAAAGAAATGGTAAAGAGTAACTTCTCCATAAATTCCATTTATACTTGCATCAGGCAAGTCTTAATCTAATATCTGACTTATTAAAAATATTTAAATGAACACATCTATTCATAAGCATGCAATTATCTGTAATCAAATAAAAAACTTAACATGCTTCATTTTTCAAAATATAGGTTAATTTTTCTACGTCATGATACAATTCCATGGAAGCTAAACTTTTATTTCCCTTTAGAGCAAAGGAACTCAATTTGCAATGGAAAAAATAACAGTTTAATGAATACTTACCTGAAAAAGTCCAGTTTTATTGAAGAAAGTAAACTGTGCTCTTTTAACTAATACAGAATTTTCTTGACTTAAGTTCTCAAGTAAGTTTAGAGGCAAAATTACAGAAGCCAATGGATCCATATGTCTGCTCTCAAAATCCATCTGTCACACACAGGGATAAATTGGTAGAGTAATCAACATGAAATCGCAATGATAAGTATCGCCTTGGCTAGGACCAGGGCTGCCCTTCCCTCCACCTGTCACTGCCCTCCTGGTGAATCCCCTATGGACAAAGGCATGCATCTCACTGGTTTTCCCATGTGTAGCAAAACAGGAAATGCATGGATTTTATCTAAGGCAACTGAGACATTTAAAAATCAGTTAACATTTCCAAATATAAGAGTTAGATTTACATTAATATATACTTTTAAAATATATTTTATAGATTTAAGAGAGAGAGGAAAGGAGGGAAAGGGGGAGGGAGAGAGAGAAACATAGATCAGTCGCCTCATGCACGTGCCCTGACCAGTATCAAACTCACAACCCAAGGATGTGCCCTAATGGGAATCTAACTGTGCACTTTTTGGTGCACAGGATGAGGCACAACCTACTGAGGCACTGCAGCCAGGGTGACAATAAAATTTGAGCTTTCTCAAAACATGAAGTGAAAAATAACTACCAAAAAAAAAAATGAGTTGATTTGTTTGATTGCTAAGAATGAGTATCACCGCATAGAGAAGCAGTTGAAATTTTATGAACACTTGGATGCCATTTTTCCTGAGCCCACAGATCAGGCCAAAGAGTGTTTGCTAGCAAATAGACTCGGAATGAGACTGAGGCTGACCGAGTTTTCACTCTTAAAATATCAAATAGGGTTACCCTGAAGAGCCCCGAGTTTAAAGCAGAATAAATTCTGCCTCACGTCCAGATTTGTCAATATTTTATCTTGGCTTTTCTCCACAGTTAAGAAGTATGCCATGCCACCGTGTGTCTTCCCATGTTAAGGGCACTGTTTCAATTCTTTCATTTGCCCACGTGTCTAACACTGTCTAGCACACAGTAGACACTTAAACAAACATTATTTGCCCAAGTGTCACTTGAGCAGGTCAGGTAGGTCTTCATTATTCTGGCCCTAGCTTTCCTGTCCAGCCTCACTATCACTTGCCTTCCCAACCTTCCACATCATTGGTTCTCAAAGCACGATCCTCACCAACGGTATCGGCCATACCTGGGTACGCATTAACACTGCAAGTTTTTGAGATCCACCTTGGGCCAATTAAATGAGAATCCCTGGGAATGGGATCCCACCCTCTGTTTTGACAAGTTCTTCAGGTTTCTAATTATAACCCTCACCTGGGAAAGCCACTGGCAAAGAGAATACACCATGCTTCTTCCCACTTTTGGACCCTTAATGAAGTTCTTTCTTCTTGATGAACTTATTCCCAATCCCCATTCCCAAAAGGGTGGACCCCACTAGTGCTTTCATACTTAGTTCTGCTATCACCTGAAGGTAAACTGCCTACCTCTATCATCCAGGTTCTGAAAGTGTATTCCCTCTATGTGGTCACATACCGTAGTTGGCATTCCAACTTGACAACCATCCCTCAGACCAGCGTCTCCTTGAAGAGCAACTTGTAAGTGATCATAAAGTTTTTATCTATCTAATTAAAGTTAAAGAAACTACTAGCTCTTACCTGAAAATATGACTCATTATTTTTTGGAAGGCTGATGCTAAAATTTAAAGCTTCACTAGTCCCTGGAGATAGGGATGATATTCCAAGAGCCAAATTCCGAGTTGTAATATTCACATGTGGTGTGCTGTTTAGGTCTATCTTGAAAGCCAATTCATCAATTGTTTTTAAAGCTCTAAAGAAATGACAAATAATACCACCATTAAGTGACATGTTTCAGGTACCTGCACACACATGATTTGTTGCCAGACAAGATACAAAACAAAAAATAATTGTGTATTTATGTCTTATCTCACAAAATTACCCAAACGACAATAATAGCACTTAATACACAGAATCATAGTGATGAATACATCCTCAAGAGAAAAACATAGGCTTTAAGCAAAAATCAACAATTAAATCATACTAAGCAAAGTCTAATTTTTACCAATTTTAGTCTTTCTTTCCTCATATAAAGAATATGTGTCCTACTCACAACTGAGTAAGAATCAAAGAAAATAATGTGTAAAAGTATTTTTTGAACTACAAAATACTGTAAAAAATAGTTTTGTAATTATTATGTAGCTAAGGTAAGTTACCTACATAATAAGTCATTTTAACAAATATATAATTTTGATCAAAGAAATTTCATTGAAAGGAAGGAAATAGGTAAAATTAAGTATCTTAATAGCAATATCTTAAGTAAAATAATTAAAAAAAATTAAATTATATAAAAATGGGTACATTTTCTCCCTTGCCGGGAGCCGGTCCATCCTTGCTGTTTCAAGGGACCTGGCATATATGGCATATTGTTCTTAATATGTTTGGTCACCTTCTTGGCACTATGTGTTTTAACCAAGGTCACCTCTCCGAGAAAGGTTGTTTCCCCAGGTAGGGATTTTCCCCTGAAGTTAGGGAGGGAATAAAACCTATTAACTAAATGCCAGGCGGGTAATTAATCACTTTAACTACGAACAATCATGCTTACGCTACATAACCTTTACTCCCTGGAATGGAGATAAGAAACGCCCTAACCTTTGGAATAGAAATTGATAGGATTGGAATCAACTGGTATAAATACAGATGTAACAAGACAACAGGACACAGAACCTAGACACAGACCCTAGCGACAGAACCTAGAGACAGACCATGGCAAAAGATA